TGCGTCCAATTCTCAAACCCAACCAAATTACGCTCATGGTAGGAACGGGTTACAATGAATGGGTTGCAACGTCCGAGAAGCTCCCGGCTGTACCACACGCCATGCGTATGCCTGAAACGGAATTGACAGCGAATCAGCGTCTAGTCCGTGCGTGGTTTGGCAAGATGATGTTACTACCATCGTATCAGCGTATGCTCAAGCAGATGGATTTCGCAGAACACAGGAATTTGACAGCGCAATATGTGCAGCAAGGTCAGCAGACGAACATTCCTCGATTAGGCTGCGCGCCGAGTCGTCGATTGGTTGCGTCTGCAGATAGCTGCACCTACCGAAGTTGTGTACCTAAACCAGCCGTCCCAAAACCAGCGGATGGCTGCTCTGTAGTGTGCAATCGCCAACGCCATAGAGGTGACTTGGAAGAGTGTGCTGCGGCTTGCACCTGCGAATCGAGTGACAGTCATGCATCCGTATGTTGGATGCTTTGTGTTCAAGACTTGACCACGTGCCCCCTCGAACATCAGACCTGCTCAGGTCAGACCAAAGTGTGTATGTAGCCCGAAATCTCACCCGCAACACCTCCTCCGGCGCCTACATCACCTTCTCCGGCATCCGCTCTATCTCCTCCTGCACCTGTATCACCTCCTCCGACACCAGCTACACCTCCACCGCCATCAACCCCTGTCGTACCTCCTCCGGCATCTGTTATACCTGCTCCAGTCCCTATTGCACCCATGTCACCCCCGTCTACCTCAGGTCAGCCACCGTCATCCCATTCTGCACCAACTCCGCCTTCGTCGTCTCCAACGATCACATCACCCCCAAAAGTGGACAACCAAAGGCCTTCCGACGCATGTAAAGACTCTGACACCTCTATCGAGCATCAACGCCCGTTGATCCCCCAATTGCTCCCATGCCTACCATGCATAGTATGTGCTAGAGTAACGTTGGCACATTTTGCTGATGTCTAAATTCAATGTTACATCAGGTTCTATTCACTCCACAGTACCATTGTCGTTAATAAGTGCATGCCAGTGATGATCACATAAATGAATGCCTTTAATAGACGCTATTAGGTAAACAGAAGCGACAGATAATAAAAGGATCAGGCAAATAGACGACGACAAGATCATATGTGGATGCAGTGCTACGAGTAAGCCTACAATAGGATGATATTAATATGAAATGTACGAAATAATATATAACATTGATGAACATTCTTTTAAAGTTAAGCTACATAAAATAACCAAACTAATTATAAGAAAAAACTATATGAAAAGGAGAAAATACAATTATTACTAAAATGTTCTTAAGAAATGATAATCAAAATACAGTATCATTGCGTATCTTGGCAGGCGACATGTCCAAGGTGTCCTCGTTTAAAATTAAAATTCATTGATAACGTAAAAGATGTTTTTTGGTCTCAGACGATTTCTCATCGTATGTATGGCTGGGCTAGAAATCCATGAGA